AGGGAACCAGATCAGAGAAAGAATAGCACTGACAAGACTGACTGTAGTTGACAGATGAGAACGGTAAAGGAAACCATATCACATGAAGTTGTAGGGGTTCTAATATTTAACTTAGAAAAGAGGAGACCTAGCAGGACCCAGTATAGTGAGGAAAAGCTTACTGCATCTCACTCATGAAGACAGAACTGCAACCGGTGGGAAGAAGTTACGTAATAAAGACAGAGCAGATACTAACTCAACTTAAGTAAGATCTTTCCATACTTTGCAAAAGCGAAGTGAGCCATCCTATGCCCACTTTCTCATGGAAGTGTTGTTTGTGGAGAAGCCGGATTCAATAACATCTCAGGGATAATAGTAATAGGCATGGCATTACTTCTAAAATCTCCTCTAAGTCTAAAATTTTATGAATCAGAAAGGAAGCAACGCTGCCTTTTGAACCTACTAAAAAAGACATACATTCAGTTATGGGTTGAACCACTCGGTCAGAATTTTGGCTTTAGTCAAAAAGACATAGGTTCAGTTATGGGTTGTACTACTTAGTAATGTGTGACACAAAACAAAATTATTCCCTAACTCTGGGTCTCAAATAGTCTCAACTGGAAAATGATACCTTATTTATAGAACTGTTGCATGAATTACACACACACACACACACACACACACACACACACACACTCACACTCTGCCTGGCACTTAGTAGGTGCTTAATACCTAATAGATTATTCATTTATGTAATAAATATCGTGTTCCAAAGAGAAATATTTTCTTACTTATTAATGATTGTTATGCTTAAATGACTTTTCTGCTATGTCTCATTTTTCAAACCTAATTCAAGCCTAGGATTCTTTTCCACTTATATATTTGTACAATCCCTACTAGTATTTGCATGTTAGTACTTTTTGTAAGGCTTCCTTTAATCTTACTTTGGTAGTTTCCTTTCTATTTTTGTTTGACATAAAGGTGAGCTTTACCTTCAGTACATATTGGCTGTATCAGTTCATTTTGGCCAAAAATTTTACAATACGCTGTTGGACAATCATTTCAACTAACTGGACTATATGTCCAGTTTTATTAACCTTACCCCCAGACAGATGTTTTCTTATTCTCTTGTATTGCTCACATTGGCCAACTCATTGCTTTGCACTTCCCTCAAGAAATATATGAATAAGTAAATTAAAACCCATTCCACCAAGTGTAGTTGATTATTAGAAATCTTGGTCATTAAAAAAGGTTATGAAATAAAGATGGTCTCAGATTTCTCCCCATAAGAGGAAACCCATTTCTTACTGAAGCACATCAACATGGAATGATCAGTCAACATTATTTCTCCAGGGAGGGCTTTCAGATGGTATGCAATTACTCTTTTGTTACACTTACAGTATAATTTGAACTGAACGGGTATTTTAGTTGACAATTTAGTATCATGCTGTGTGTAAGGTATTCATTAGGATAGTTTAAACACCTCTAGTGTTTGCTATAGAGAACACAAAAACATTACTCATTAACTGAAAGAGCAAAAATTATTTCTCAGGAATAGATTTTGTTGAACAAAAACCATGTTGACAACTTTAAACATATACAGCATTCAGGACTAGATGAGTCATATCTGATTACTATCAGATGCAACAATAAAACAAGTTGTTGTTTTTCAGTGTCAAGAGGAAAGAAGAAACTGATACTTGGAACAAATAAACCAAATCACTAAGCACAGAATTTTTAAGGCACCCTGATATTTGCATGAATAGGCATAATGTACACTAATTTTCACTATTCTAATGTTCAGATAAACATGCAGATGGTTACTTATTTCCATACAGGGTAATTTTAGAATACCATGAAATTTACCAGTGAAATACATTTCAAGTGCGATTTAATATAATTCCACACACCTAATTTAGTTAGTTTATTTTTAAGTTGAAATGTAAGAGAAAGATTGAATTATTTTTAAAAGTCTATTAAGTGCAAAGTAGAATTTAAGGGATAAAAATGAAAAGGACTACAAAAAAGCACCTGATCCTAAAACCAACTCAATAGAAAGCATACATTTAATTTTGGTAAAAAGTTCAACACAGATTTTTCTCTCAAAGGTAAATTTTTGCTTAAAATAATATAACTCATCGATGGATGAAAAATGAACTTCACAGGTCCTTTTGTGGCAATTTTATTTTTAACCGAGTTTACAGAGCTGATCGTACTACAAAATACTACTGAATATCAGGAAGTATTAAAATGTGGTTACTTAGTAAGTAGCAGGGGAAAAAAATTTCCAAGGTTCTGTTTTTATGAAAAACCCATGTTATGGTATCTTTCCCTACAGCAGTAAGTTAATTTCTAAAACCTAAGTTCTGTTTCAGTAGAAGCGTTTTCACATTACAAAGGATCAGATGAGCACAACTGGGGTGACCATGAACTTGACAGGCACAGACCACTCCCAGGCTGGAGAGCAGCTCTCCTTACAGGTCCGCAGGGGCTGCCACTCGCCTCTGCCTTTCCCTGGAAGTTTGCGTTTCACAGACAAGTCCGTCAACTTTTCAAATGTTAGCGTCTCCCTCTGTCAGTCAAGTGCACCGAGATTCTTCGGTTTAAAAACAGCAAAATGACGCAACAGCTACCAAGCCAGGGAGCCCTCAAAAAGCAGCCCCAGGGTCACTTAGAAACACCACCCAGAGGGGCGGGGGGGAAAAAAAAAAAGCAAGATGGTTTGTAACTTGCAACCTCCTATTTCCTGAGCTGAATTCCTCAATCCTGGAAGCAGTCCCAGGAAGGATTTCATCAGCGAGGATCTAGATACTGTACCCATAACACAACCCCTCTCGAAGCATCACCCCGCCCCCCCACCTGCTCCTCCGCATCCTCCTTCCTTCCCGTGGGCTTGTTTTAACCCCAGCAGCACACGGTCCGAGCAAGGAAGCATCGCAAGCTTGCAAGGATCAAGTCATTTGAAAAAGAGAGACCCTTGCAATCTGCGGCACCACCTTTCGCTCAGAGCAGAGTGACTTTTCATCACGAGAATAAAACTAGGAATAAGCAAACTCAGACATCGACATGTACCAGGTCTTTTTTTTTTTTGGTTTGCTTTGATTGCTTTAAAAAAAAAAAAGAAAAAAAAAACAGGCAAGATGTTCATCTATTCGCTTAGGAACGTAGCATGCGTTACCCAACCCACTGGAAAAAACACACACACAAAAACAATTCTGCAGCTGCATTCATTCCCCAGCTACACAATAGGTCGCCGCCGGCCCTTCCTACGGCCCGTCGTCCCCGTTAAACAGTCATTTTGCATCGATCGCCTCGGCAGTGCTGGCCCGGGAGCTGGCGCCCCGTCTTCCAGGACCTTGCATTCTCCGATTTAAGAAAGAAAACCCGGCCGCCCGCCAAGGAGCTTCGAGGACTCGGGGCACAAACCCCACATCTTGCCGCCCGGGGCGGGGTCCGCCGCCGGGACCGGGCTCCCCTCGGGCAATAACGCGAGGAAACCATCCCGGACCCACATCGGAGTCGCAGGACAATGAGGCCGCCGGGAGGCCGCCGGGTCCTCCCCCGGCTTCTCCACGGAGGCCGAGCCCGAGCGGGGCGCCGTCGCCTGGCGCGAGTGCGTGACACCCCGACTTCCACGCCCTCCCGCCGCGTCCGAAAGGCTCCCGCGCGAGCACCCACAGCCGGGCCGACACAAACCACAAAGAGGAGTCGGCGCTGCGGGCGGCTCCGATCCGGGGGAACCCCTGGCAGCGGCCGCGCGGCCGGCCCTTCCCTCCCGGCGCCGCCCGCGCCCCCTGCTCGGCCCCGGCGGAGGGGAGGATGCACAAAGCCCGGTCGAGGGCGCTGACAGGATTCCATACGGCGGCAGCGGGCCCGGGGCGCCGGGGGGGAGGGGGGGGGCTGGGATGCAGGATGCAGAGGCGCCCGCCAGTCCCCGATCGGTGCGTGTGGTGCGCGCCCGCGCGGAGCATCGGGAAGCTGCCCTGGTCCCCCGCCCGCATCCCCCGCCCGGCTGCGGGCCGAGGCCGCGGCCCGGGCTGCAAACCCGGGGAGGAGGATGTGGAAAGCGGCGGCGCCGGCGGCATCGGCAGCGCCCAAGCCCGGCGATGGCGCGCATCACTCACCCCTCACCGCGGAGAGAGGCGCCGGTCGGGGAAGGCGGGGCGCGGCGCGTCCCGGGAGTCTCCGCACGCCGTCCTCCCGGCACCCTGTTGTCGTCGTCGCTGTGGCTGCGATGGAGGTCCCGGCCTCTCGGCTCCGCTGGGCGATAACGTTATTCCACACACGCCCCACACATAGCGGTAACGGCAGGAGCGGCGGCCAGTGCGCAGGCGCCTGGGGAAGGGCGAGGAGCCCGGCCCTATCCCGGCTCCGGCTCCGACCCGGCGGCCTCTCACTGCGCAGGCGCCAAGCGCAGACAATGAAAAGGGTTGTGCAGAGGGTCTCCCGCAGGCTTTCCCAGGTCCTACTGCGCACGCGTGCCTCCAAGACCCGCTGGAACAATGAAGAAGGACCCCAGTATTAGCGGGCGCCGCAACTCACAGGGACTACAGTTCCCAGCGGGCAGCGCGCCAACTCCGAGGGGAGGTCGGGTTGCTGGGCATGCCTGGATTTGTAGTGTGAGCCGCCTTTCACAATCTAGGCTCGTTGGGAGATGTTTAGAGCTGCTTTCACTTGAGAATGTATTTGGCCGTTTTGACAAACGTCGTGAAGAGTGCAGAGCTTGTTATTTGCGTCTTTCAGAAGCTTCAAGGCTCGAATGCTTGCATGCACATGTCGAAGGGTCCAGGCCTTGCTGTCAGTAGGGTGAGGTCCAACAGCAGGATGGGATGAAGGCAGGACTAAGCCAGGAAAAGGGCGGAGCCTCCTAACAGTCCCTTGGCAACCGGATCCTGCCAGCGAACCGTTGCAGCCTGTGTGCTCGGGCGCGGTGCCCTCTGGGAATTGTAGTGTCCTTGGACGGGCTCCCGGGAATGTAGAGGCTGCAAGCCCGCAGTCTGTGAACCACAAGTCCCGTCATCCTTCAGGAGGGCCAGTGGGTGGGAAGGCTGAGACCCTTTGAGTGGGGTTCCAGGCTCCCCGTTGACAGCCGCGGCAGGAAGCAGGCGGGTCCTGCCGGGGCGCCAAGGCCTCCTGTCCTCTGAGGGGGATCCCTGGACTCTGTCCCACCTCACTCCCCTCGCTGGACCCCGAGTCTGCGCATGGAGAAGTCCCTGGAGAACTCTACCCTGGAGGAGTCTCTGGGGCAATACCAGCTGAGTCTCCGGGGTGAGTTGCCCAGAACCCTGCGCCTTACCCCCAGGGGACCAGGGCCTGGTGGGCGGGAGCTGGCCAGGTGCCTGACCTAACACCCCAACGGGCCCCACCTCAGCCAGGACGCGGAGGAAGAAGATGGGTGTTGCTGTGATTTTTGAGGGAGGGAGAAAGTTTGCTTTTACTATTAACCACTGGCGTTTCCCTTGATTCCCTGGGTCACCTGCCCAACTCCCTGATGTTGATTTAAGCACCTTTGTTGTCCAGCGCCAGCAGAAACTCTTGCAGGGCTCTGCTCTAGGCCACTTTTGCCCAGTTCCCACACTTTGCTTTTTAATAAGTTCCTAATTCATACTTTGTACACATTCAAATTACAGAGTAGGGGATTGAATGGGATTTATTGGACCAGGGACAACACACACCACCAATAATTATTTTCATCACAGCAGCTTTATTTAGTAGTCTAGGGCCTAGACTCTAGGCTATTTACATATATTAAGTCATTTAAAACGTCAAACAAACTTATGAATATTACTACTTTACACATGGGGAAATGGAGCTGTAAAGACATGAAGTTAGGGCAAAGCCCACACAGAGACAGAGCCAGGTGTTAGATTCAGCCAGGCTCATTTGAAAAGCCTGTTTTCCTTTATTAATCATATCATAATTACTATGACTGAAACCTTGTTCACTCAGATTTTCTTAGTGTAGTACTAATGAATGAGTAGAGAAGTACATACTTGTAGATAGTCTTTCTTCTTGGACATCATAATATAATAACATCTAGAAACTTTGGTTCTGTTATTTTTACAGTTATGGTGTTGTTTACAGGGTTATTGTGAGGAGCAAATGAAATAATCTGTGTAAAGCAGGGGTCCTCAGACTTTTTAAACAGGGGGCCAGTTCACTGTCCCTCAGACCGTTGGAGGGCTGGACTATAGTTTTTAAAAAAACTATGAACAAATTCCTATGCACACTGCACATAGCTTATTTTGAAGTAAAAAAACAAAACGGGAACAAATACAATATTTGTATTTGCATGTGGCCCGCGGGCCGTAGTTTGAGGACCCTTGGTGTAAAGCAATCATTTTCAGACTTTTCTTACTGTTTCTCATCAGTAAGAAATAAATTTTATATGGGATTATACACTATATATGTGTGTATATATACATAGATATATGTACTAGAGGCCCTGTGCATGAAAATTCGTGCACTGGGCGGGGGTGTCCCTTAGCCCAGCCTGCACCCTCTCACAGTCGGGAGCCCTCGGGGGATGTCCAACTGATGGCTTAGGTGGGGAGTGGGCCTGAGCCGTCAGTGGGACATCCTTAGTGCTGCCGCAGAGGTGGGAGAGGCTCTCGCCTGCTGTGAACCTGGCTTCTGGCTGAGCAGCGTTCCCCCTTGTGGGAGCGCACTGACCACCAGGGGGCAGCTCCTGTGTTGAGCATCTGCCCCCTGGTTGTCAGTGCATGTCATAGCGACTGGTCGTTCTGCCGTTCGGTCAATTTGCATATTAGCCTTTTATTATATAGGATATGTATATATACTAAATGAAAAGTTTCATTCAAGAATATTCTACTAGAGTAAACCATTCTATTTTTATTGTGTTTTTGTGTTGCGTTTTCTTAACCCTCATGACCAATAGTTTAAAAAATTATTTAATGCATATAGAACGCTGACTCATTTATTTATTTTATTTTGTTAATCTTCACCTGAGGATATTTTCCCACTGATTTTTAGAGATCGTGCAAGGGAAGGGGAGAGATGGAGAGAGGAACCTCGATGTGAGAAAGACACATCAGTAGTTGCCTCCCGCACCCAGCCCGCAGGGCTGTGGATTGAACCTGCCACTGAGGTACGTGCACATGCCCGGAATCGGACCTGGGGCCCATCAGTCCGCGGGATGACGCTCTATCCACTGAGCCAAACCGGACAGGGCCTTTTATTAATTGAGTGCCTACTATGTGTTAGGCATACGAGGTGCTGGGGATACAATAAGTAACTAGACAAAATTCCTGTCCGGTTGGAGCCCCTGGATTAGTGGGGAGAAAGACAACAAAGAAATAAAATAATTACAGATCACTCTGGTAGAAAGTGAGGGTAAAGATCAGTGCTTGGCAGCTAAGAAGCACTCATTAAATGTTAGCTGCTCTTTATGCTCGGTACTTGCAGCAAAGGGAGGATTTTTCAAGGAGATTAGAAAGTTTATTTTCAAGTGACTCTAAACTTTGTAAGAGTTATTCATTATTGTTCCCATCGTCAGCAGTGTTAGAAACTGTCAACATTCTCAGTATCCACACTGCAAGAGTAAAAGGATTGGTCTTAATGAAGGTATTCACCCTATTTATGTTTCAAGAAAGGTTAGATACAGAAATAATCACTTCTAACTTTTTAAACAAATTAATTTCAGACAGTAAGGGAGAGGGAGAGGGAGATAGAAACACCAGTGATGAAAACCACGGATTGGCTGCCTCCTGCTCGCCCCCCACTAGGGTCCAAGCCCTCAACCCGGGCCCGGGTACTTGCTCCTGCCAGGAATCAACTGTGACCTCCCAGTTCATAGGTCGATGCTCAACCATTGAGCTATGCCAGCCAGGCTAACTTTTTATTTGAAAGCAAGAAAAATGCAGTGCACAATGATAATATGAGTGATTTTGTTTAATTTTTGAGGTTGGCAAAAAAAATTTTTGTTTTGCATTATAAATGACTTCTAATGTTTCTCCTTCTTTGATCTTATTTTGAATTTTTATGTAAGCATCAGAGGCCATTTAATATTAGGCATTTTAATGCAGTGGTTAGTTTCAAACTAATGTTATAGTACTATGTTTAATGCCCATGAAGAGTTTTCATTCAAAGTTAATACATTTTAAAATAAATCTGAAATTTAGTGTGCTAACAGTATAAAATAGAACACTTGTAATCAAGAGCAGACATAAACCAAAGAAAAAAGTTAACTTAAAAAAAAACAACAACTTCAGACCAGCTGGCATGGCTCAGTAGTTGAGCGCTCACCTATGAACCAGGAGTTCATGGTTCGGTTCCCAGTCAGGGCACATGCATGGGTTGCAGGCTCAATCCCCAGTGTGGGGAATGCAGGAGGCAGCCGATCAGTGATTCTCTCTCATCATTGATGTTTCTATCTCTCTCTCCTTCTCCCTTCCTCTCTGAAATCAATAAAAGTATTTAAAACAAAACAAAATAAAACAAAACAAAATCCCCCCCAAAACAAAAAACTTTAGTGATAGTTTTAACAATGAATCAAGAAGTGGCACCTGATTTTTCATGGGTTTTCAGGACTTTGTTACTTATTTAGTAGCATTTTTATGTTTATGTAGCTTATATAACAACTCGTGGAAAGAAACAAAAAAGCTAATTTTGACACAAAGCATAGTTAGAAGTTCTTCACTTCATACCTATAAATCAGGGGTCCTCAAACTTTTTAAACAGGGGGCCAGTTCACTGTCCCTCAAACCGTTGGAGGGCCGGACTATAGTTTAAAAAAAAACTATGAACAAATTCCTATGCGCACTGCACATATCTTATTTTGAAGTAAAAAAACAAAACGGGAACAAATACAATATTTGTATTTGCATGTGGCCCGCGGGCCGTAGTTTGAGGACCCCTGCTATAAATTATCTCTTTTAAATAGGATCTTCCTTCAAGTCAAAATGTGTGTTTCTAAAGAGGGTATGGTGGCATTATTTTATATGGGGAACTTCGTGATTTTGAGTGCTGGTGCCTAATAACTTGAGAATTATGTTGTTATTATGCAATCAGATAAAATGCAAGTTCAAGTTCTTTTGTATTGTTTTGTGTTGGTTTTGTTGGCTTGGTTTTGTCTATCTGCTCTCACTTCCCCAAAATGTCTTGCCTGGTTCATGAGCAGAGAAAAAGCTAATCAGCATTCTTGGTCTTTCCTCACAAGTTATTGCTCTGGCTTCTAAATAACTGTACATGCAATCATTGCTAACAGCCCTTCATTTACTGTGTATTCAGCCAGGAAGTAGCCACATAAAAATGCAAAATGTTTTCACAATTTTCCATGCTAGTCCCTCATTTTTTTTTCCTCGTTCATTTGCTTTAAATACAATTTGGGGCCCGGCCAGTGTTGCTCAGTGGTTGCTCATCGACCTAATCATTTTATATGCCGACTCCCCCTATTTCAACATTTTGGTGTTTCGGGCTCTAGATTGAGTTTGTGGAAGAGTGTGATGTAGTCAGAGGAAGAGAATGTGGAACTAGGAGCCAGGTCACTGACTCTTGCTGTTGCTTGGCTGACAAACATCTGTTACCTTAGGCAAGTTATTAACTGTTCCTGGATTCTTGGTCTTTATCTACAAAATAAAGTTGGGCCTATTTGGGAATTACGGCCTTTAGGAGTCAAACACATGACAGAATGTGTGGAGCTGCCCTAACTGGTTTGGCTCAGTGGATAGAGCGTCGGCCTGTGGACTGAAGGGTCCCAGGTTCGATTCCGGTCAAGGGCATGCACCTTGGTTGTGGGCATATCCCTAGTAGGGAGTGTGCAGGAGGCAGCTGATGAATGTTTCTCTCTCATCAATGTTTCTAACTCTCTGTCCCTCTCCCTTCCTCTCTGTAAAAAATCAATAAAGTATTTTTTTTTTTTAAAGAATGTGTGGAGCTGCCAGTGGAAGACATGAGGGAATGGTGAGGCTTGTGGCAGAACTGGGCAGTTTATACTTGTTCTAAAACAATCCATTTCTCTCTTGCTTCCTCCTCTTTCCTTCCTTTTTCTTCTCCCTTCCTCCCACACTGTTCCTTCCAATCAAAACACATATGAGAGCCCAGCTGGCGTAACTCAATGGTTGAGCGTCGACCTATGAACCAGGAGGTCACGGTTCGATTCCGGTCAGGGCACTGCAGGAAATTGCAGAGGTTTAATGACATTCCTGGAGGCTTGATCCCCAGTGGGGGACGTGCAGGAGGCAGCCAGTCCGTGATTCTGTCTCATCATTGATGTTTCTCTCTCTCTCTTCCTCTCCCTTCTTCTCTGG